AAGTCTTTAGAAAGATTGGGTTTCTGTCCAGCATGTATGAACTTGCTGGCTGAGCCACCTGCCAGAGAGTTCATTTCTGTGTGTCCCCCACCCCGGGCTGCGAGCTGCAGGTCTCCTGCCACCCAGCTTTTCACGCAGAGTTCAGATCATCCACAGCCTTGGAGAGGCAAAGAGGATGTGGTTTTCTAGGCTCGGACATACAGGCCGGCCTGTAGGCCACCACGGTGAGCTTTCCTTGGTGATGGAAGTGGAAACTGGATTTGGGTGACCGATGCGCTTATTGCAAGGATGCTTGTTTTTTTCTTAACTAGAGTTCAGCGGTTTTTTGGTGACTGGTCAGCACAGGTTCCTCTGGGTTAAGAGAACCACTCACGTGCATAAATTTAGTCATATGCCCAGCCTTCCCGGGTCATTCCCGTAATGTGTCACTGGTGAAAAGTACAAAGGGCACTGAATTTGTCACATGCATTCTACTTTTTCGGGGCAGGAGTACAATTTAGAAGTAGAGATGAGAATACAAGTTCTTTTTGCACTGTGCTACTCCAGTGACACGGAAATAATGTGTTATTTTGAGCACATGTGGTAAAGCAACCACTTGAATTCAGCGTCGGACTCTGGAAAATGCAACAATATTTCAGGTGAAAGCAGCTAGTAAAAAGCAAAGATGGTGATCTTGTGAACTGAACATTCCTGGATTTTAGACAGAATTTGTATATTTTAAGGTTATACCTGCACTAGCAGTACATCATTTAGTTTATATGCTTCAAGAATTTGTATATTTTAAGGTTATACCTGCATTAGTAGTACATCATTTAGTTTATATGCTTCTACATCTTTGGAGCTAGATACGGGTTTGTAACTGTCTAATAAGTGTCTAATTTGAGGATATTTTTATCAATGATTAGACAAAACTGAAATTAAAGATTTCCTCTTAGACTTCACAGTCTTCCATTGTTTTGCTGTTGAATTAATTAATGCTCAGTGCAAAACTGCAACTGAAAACTTAGATGCCGTTGAAAGGGAAACTCAAGTACGTTTTATGGATAGTTTGTTTTTCTTGCTTTCTTGTGGTTACACAAACGCTATATTTCGGGGAGAGTAAGATAAAGTTCTACGGACAAGTCTCCGAACCAGGACGGACTCGGTTTAGTCACCAGTTTTCATGCAAATTTGCTTCTCTTGACTTTACTCCTTCTCTGCTGCTGGAGCTAAAAATGGTTTGCAGCATTTTGGAGTCCCAGAGCTTGCGGCCCCAGTTATGTGGGTATATTCTGTGAGAACTAACAGTGCCAGTGGAATTCAGAGTTGATAAATGCTACTATTATTTTACAATTATATATTAAATGTTACCTGTATTACCCTCTCAGGACAACACGCTGCATTTCCAGGGAAGAAACACATAACATGACACGAATTAAATGAGAACATACTTAAATAGAATGTCTCCAGGATAGTCTAGGGAGAGATTAAACTGGAATTCAGCTGAAGTCTTTTGTAGGTACGTGCACTAGTGAAAAATTAACGGAATAGCAGAGCTAAAGGGATGTGCTTAGCTTGCTGGTTTTGCCCCAGCTGGTAAAATTTCATATATAATTTCTAATACAATGTTGTTTGAATGTAGTGCCCTGTTTTGGTTTACTTTTAGTTTCTTTGAGAAAATAATTCCAAGGCTTCTTTTCTTTTCCTGCTGTTGTTGGACAAGGTTTCTTTCAGCAAAATCTAACTGATTGACTTACGATAGGAAAAAGTGCTGTGAAATACAGTCTATAAATAAACAAAACCACAAAAGCTCTTTATGTGTTTGTTCCCCGCTAACTTCTTTCTGTGATGATAATCTCAGTGATTATTTATAACTGTATGAAAATAGTGTCTATCTGCACGAATACCAAGAAGAGACACCTGATTTAGTTGTGCGTATGAAGAAAGGGAACTACATAACATATTTTTAATTCCTCTTGTTAATTCTTGATTGAAATCCATTGAGCGTGGTTACTCTTTTGCTGGTAATGCACAGACAAAAGAGCAGACTGTCACCAAAGACAATTCCTTAATTCATGTTTCAGAGGATAAAAACATAGAACATATTTTATGGGTATGTATGTGCATAGATAAATGTATGTAAGTTATAATGGATAGTGATATAGTAAAGGCCTGGATCAAGTGAAGCGGAAAGAAATCGCTAGTGGCATTGCAATACAGAGATTGTGGTTACAGTTAGAGAAAACCTGTTTAATCTGTGAAATTAGCACTTGCTGTTTGTAGGCATGCAAAATACGGTGTAAGCGCTTGGCACCGCCTTTTCTAGGGGAGGCAAGATGTTGTGGCACTTGATGTGCTGGAGTCACATATGGCATGTGAGGGAGAGAACCAGAACGTAGCTGGCTTTGGGAGTTTGGAGCAAAGGCAAGGCATTTCATGTGCAAAGGATCAGGCTCAGGTTGGATTCTCAGTACTGGCCACGTAGAACTTTAATTTTCTTATAGAAGCAAAGTGGTTTGAAGAGATAGGTTAGATGGTAGAAGCTAAGTATTGGTTTTCTTTTTAATTTATTATTTATAATTTAGAAAGTTGTTATTGTTTTATTTTATATTATCTTTTTAAAATATTATTTTAAATAATTGAATAATAAAAAAAATACGTATATATCCATTGTAGCAAAAAATCCATGAGAAAATAAAATAGATGAGGTTTTGCTCTGTTCAATTTGACATTGTATTTGTATGAAGACAGTCCATTCTTGGGAGCCTAATTTGTACTGATGATCATAAAAATAATTTGGGGGAGGGAAAGAATGTATATCTGAAGCAGTTTCTGGAAAATGTCATTAGCAAGACTAAATACTGCTCCTCCCTTGAAAATGAAATCACAGTACAGCACCCTGCGGAGAGTTTTGCTCTTTGTAGCCAAACCGTAACTGTGCACAGGCAATGCCAGAGCCCAGGCCAGGGGTACACTGACCTCTCTCTGCGTGGGGGCAAGCCTGGTCAGGCACATGCACATCTTTGTGTGATTCTTTAATTCACGGGTGCGTTTTCGGTGCAGTGCTTTGGGGAATAACAAATGCTGGGCCTGTTCAGTACCTGGGGCAGCAGGTGCTTCATGAAAACCGGATCGTGCGTTTTACCTTAGAACCCAGCCTTCTGGTTTACTCCCTTTGACCTGAAGGACACAATCAGGCTAATTGTGAATGGCTTTAATATATTTTAATCTGTAACAGAATTTTTATTTTTTTTTTTTCTGATGAATAATTACAGCAGCTGGTTTTGGGAGTATTTTATTAATACTACTTTATTTCTTTAGAAATGCGGAAATCTGAGAAACAGAAAAATGAGAGGAGTTATATTTCGTTGCTGTAGTGTTATTTAAAACTTTTCCTTCAAGATAGCAAGCCCCATCAAAACTCCTTTCTCATTTGGGAAAGGTGAAAGAATCCATGAATAAGACAGCAACTACAGCTAGCTGGTGAGACGTTAAAAAGCCGCACTTCCTTACCAACATGCTAGGCACATCGTTACTTGGAATTAGTAAGTTGTGAAGTTTTAAATGCAGTAAAACACAAATTGGATTCCATCATGGGTGTGTTTTCCTTCTTAATTAAAAGATATTTGGCTAGTGACATTTACAGGCTCTTTCACTGTTGGTGCTCATGTCGGCAGTAGATTTTTGCACAGCTCTCACGCGGGGAGAATGAGGAAACACATTTCGGCCTAACATTCTGAAGAGGCATAAAGCGAAAGTTCAGCCACTGAAAAAGAACAGTATCGTGTCCTGGATATGGCTTAATCTGTACAAAAGAGGGTTCTAATTTTTCAGGGTAGATTTTGGCACTAGGCCTTTCTTAAAGTGAGGTCTGTGGAGGGTTTTTTCCTCACAAGTTTACAGACCTGAGGGTAACGGAAAAGACCCTGATTAGAATGTGCCCTACTTAATAAGCATGGTCCTGAAGCTAAAACTACCTTCTCAACAACTTTCTAACAGAGGAAGATTGGTGTATTTTTGCTTTTGTTACCAGAATGCTGGGAGTAATTACAAACATAGCAAACATTATTATCTCCATGGCTAGATTTTGCAGCTCAGTGATGGAACGGAATGGTAACTGAAGAGCAGCGAACAGCATGGTACAACCTTTGGGGCACTTGAGGGGTGTTCCTAGGAAACACAGCGTAGTATAAAAGGTAGATGATGTTTTCCCATCAGTTAGTTTCTCGCATTCAGTGCAACAGGATTTCTTTGCTTCGCATACTTTTGCTGGACCTTATAGCAACTGAGAAAACAGTGATGAAAACCTGAAGGTATAAGTTAAATTGTTGCAGAGATCATCAGAATACTCTATTCTTTCTATACAGTCTGATGTTGTCATGCAGTGATGGAGGTTCATTGTTCCATTATCAACTCACATGGACTCTTTCTTGATTTTGATAAAAATAGTGATGATTATTAATGTATCAAATCAAGGCCATGGAGCTTAATTAAATTGATGCTTTGGGTTGCTGCGTTGCATGCTTATGAGATTCAGCTACAAAAAGCTTAAGCTTTTTGCTTTTATTAAAGTATTCAAGTCAGGGTGAAAGTGCATGGGCCATGCTGTTCATAAATACAAATGTGGCAATCTTTCATAAGGGAGAGTTTTTGAAATGGTCGCAGTGAAAATCTGAGACTGAGAAATAGCAAATTTTCCAGTTTGTTTAAGCAATGGTCATATTTTGAACAGCATGCCACTGAAAACAGACCTAACAAGAAAAATTAAGTGAGCTTTGGGCTTATAATAAATGTTATGGGTAAGAAGCTTTTGTAGATGAGACCTTATTTTACAATTGCTTTCACCCACATCCATCTTGTATGGAATCATTTGGTACTGACTTCTGAGGGGTTGGGATGTTGTCTTGGACAGTTCAATGGGATTTTCAGATATGTCAGGACTGAGGTTTGGCAGTGCTTGTGTTCCTTGTGGCGTGGAGAATAAAAGTAATTCTAAAGCAAAATCCTTTTCTTTATTTCAGATTCACTGATAACATGCAAACCAGAGTCTTCTTACTGCTGTCTGTTCCCGATACGATGTCAAAGCAAACAAAGGAGACTTAGAAGTAATGTGACTCAAATACAAGTGTTTTGGTAAGTCACCTAATGTGCTCTTCCACTTGAAGAAAGTGGAAGTGATGAAAGTGATCTTCTACTTGAACAGATCTTTTTTCTGCTCCTTTGTAGTTAAAGTATGCTTTTAAAAACATTGCTAAAAACACAGTAGACTGTTCACATTTTGACAAGTGTTTATTCTTTCAGAAGTCTAGCAAATCACACCTTCAAGGTGTGCTTAATTAGAACATCCTGCCACAGCCCCAACTTCTGGAAAACTTTGCAGTCCCTGAGTGTTACATTCTGGTTTTGGTCAAGAGTAACACAGTGCTCTTCCTATTTATGCAGCTTCTACATTCTTTCAGAATTAATTATTCACATGTTTCAGTTAGAACATCTTTCTTGGTAAGCCTACATTCCCTCAGCATGTCAGAAGGAATATTCTTATATTCAGACTATTGAATAACATCATCTGCTTGCAGAGTTTCTCATTGCCTTCCAAAATCTGTATTGATGAATTTGAATAAAACAAGTCCCAAAACACACACCTAATTTTTGTGTATTCACGATCTAAATATACTTTACAGGCTTTTAATCTTCTTCCTGAACTCTTAAAAGCTTTTTTTTTTTAATGTGGTAACCATATGGATTTAGTACCATTAGTTCTGATATTTACTGATACTTTCATTCTAGCATGCATAGTTCTTTCGTACCTCAAGGACTGTTTAGCTGTGCTAATATAGCTAACGATACTGCTTGACTTTATTAAAGCCTACTAATGTGTTTAAATGGGATTGAGAGGTCACACAGTTTCCCTTCACAGTCAGTTCTGTATTTTTACATGCTCACATTAATGTATATTACAGAATATCTATGCAGATGATTAAAAGAAAAAGCTGTGTAGCTTTTTTGTGTCACTGGAAAGTAGGGTCCAGGTGTGTACCCTACTTAGGTCAGCCTGCATATGAACAAAGAGTTATCACCTAAAGATAAATTGCATATACATTATACATCTACAAGACAATTTCTGAAAGGGAAGAGTGTATTATGTTGTCATGGGCTCCTGTCCCATTTTTAATAATGTCCCAAATTTGGGAGTCCTAACTGAAACAAAAGTTACTTACTATAATGCCTGGGCATGAGCGAGAGCGCTCCCTTTCTGAAGCAAAATAACACTGGCTAAGAATTTCTAATTTGGTTAAATTCTTCCTTGCTTTTCCGCTCTGAAGAACTCTTCTATCTCCCCCTGCCCCTTTTTTTCCCCAGAGTTCTGCTGTTTCAATAACTGCTGCACTCTCTTGGTGTTCTTTATCCCAGTTGGGCCCAAGTAATAAGTAGAGACTAGAGACGTTCCCTTAATCATTGTGTCTTACTGCTGACATCTTTGTAAGTAAGGAGCAGATTATGTCTTGTCTTGTACCACTGTTAAGTTAGGGGAATGTCTTCCTTCACTTTCTAGCCTTCTTGATGTTGTTCTAGTCACACTGTTTCCTAACCAATTCTAGTTGACATTGCATGTCCTCTGGAATGGTGTACATATGCTGTTCCCTGCCTTTACATGCTTTATCTGTTTAACTGGAGCCATGGAAGACATCTTGTGCACCTCAAAATAATGCTTCATGGCAGTACAGTTGGAGGAACATACCTGACATCTGCCATAGTCTGGGATATGACAGAGAGATCAGAGGCTAGCAAAAAGGAGGGGTTCCCAAAATCTTGGTGTTTCTCATGGTCCACACATGGGAAAAAGACATCTGAAAAAACACATGTGAATGTATTTCTCTTCTGCAAATGCAGAGCCTGGGACAAAATTTGAAACAGCTGTAACCCCTGCCTCAGAGAGGTACAATACAGCTGTATTTCTCCAGGGATGCTATCCCAGGAAAATAAATCGGGCAACTCTTGATCTAAGGTATTAGTATTTTATTATCATTACGTTCTTCTGACACCCACACATGAGCATTTACATTACCAGTGCATCAAAAAAGGTCATAGTTGCTTAAATAAATAACACTGCTATTTTGCAAATGAGCAATTAAGTTATGAAAGAAGCCTCTTTTCATATAGCTGCTGGCTTTGATCCTTCTTTGCATTATTTAACACCGAAGACTCCGGAGTGAATTCCTTTTGTCAGCTATGGAGCATAGCTTTGCTGGGATAACATCTCACGTGGCCTCCTTGAGCAGGGAGAGAGCAGACCACAGGCTGACAGCAGTAGGTTCTGCATGTCCCTATGTGGTGGAATCGCCTCAGTTGTCTTTGCAGCCTCCCAACCTTTCCCCCACCATTCCTGCGCGATGATTTCTTCTGGTTCCTGCTACAGAAGTCCATGGTCTCAGCACAATATCTGCCCTCTGCAGCAGTTGATTTCTGTCTCAAGTGCCAAGGCTCTCAAAACACTTGCTGCCTTCCCTGCACCTCCTCCTTTCTATCTCCAAGTCAGAACGCTGCGTGCACAAAATGTTTGGCTTGCCACGAAATGTAGGTGCCATTACAAAAGGCACCACAGAAGCTGGAAAAGCCAATCGACAAGTGGTAACGTCCCTTTATATTGCAGCTTATCAGAAGGGATTCCAGGAGGGCAAAAGTTAAAAAGGAATTCCTGTGAAATTCAGAAGTACATTCATTTTTGAGAAAAACATGAGTTAATGTTTACTGTAAAGTTCTTTTTTGACTACGCGCTGAACAAGGAAGGAAACAAACCATTTTGAGTTCTCTCTGTAAGGCAGCTACTTTCTCTGTGCCTTTTTCTTTCCTATGTTTAATTCCCAATACCCTAGAGACTCAGTTTCCTCCCTTAGCAGGGACTGTGACCTTAAAAATAGCCAGCTCCAAAATAAACACAGAAAAAAAACCACTTCAATTGTTTCAAATACATGGTAAGTAACCAAAACTGCATCCATGCTAAAGCTGAAATTCATAATCTTTTGGAGCTGCAACTGGGACTTTTGTTTCTCTGAGAATTAGCATTCATTATTTTGTGTTCATGCTGCATGCCTGCCTCTCTCTCCTAAGAAGTTTGTTAAAACTTAGGATGCCATTTGTAAGTAATTTGTCACTATTTTTAGCACTCTTGCAAAATTTTTAGAGGGGACACTATCACTTTGGATGAGGACCAGTCAGGGCACCAAACGCCTAAGGAAGTGGTGATCCCAGGCTGTTTTCATGGCATGCTCCTAATGGGCTCTTTTTCTGCTTCTGGATATCACAGCTGCCTGGGGCCAGCTGGAAGAATTGACAATTTATCGAACAGAAAGCTTTTTCTGTCTCTTTTGCTTCTAGTTTGCTTTCTCTGCTTTCTCTGATTCAGGTGGATGAAGGAGGACGGGGTCCAGCCTGGACCTCCCCTCTGCATTGAGGCCATGCTATAACCCCATCCATAGGCTGTCTTATTGCCACCACTGCCACTGCTGCCTTCACATCTGTCCACAGCTGGACCAGAGTTTGCAGTTTCTACAAAAGCTTTTTCCAGGAAAAGGACTTACCATCAAACAGGTTTCATGGGGACGGGAACTGAGCCTCAACCTATTCCATTACCAGCAGGCTTGTGTCCGCATGTTAAAGCAGTTGTTAACAGCTGCACTCAACATTTCATTGAGGAGCCCTTGGTCATATATAACCAGTATAAAGGCAGAAGGACAGGAGAAAGGACATGCAAGTCTGCAAAATAAATTGCCCTCTGGCAAGCAAGTATTGCAGAGGAATATTTTCAGAGTCTGGCCAATGGCCTGGTATGGAAAAGTCAGTCAGATCTTACCAACACCTCTCACTGGGCAGATGTGTCTTCTGACCTTGCTTAGGAAGGTTTAAAACTGGTAGAGGTTCAGGAGTCTTCAAACACATCTCAAACTCTTCTCCTGCAAGTAGTGCCTGCAGAGACTGTCACAAAATTCAAGTATTCCTTCTGCTTTTCAGCTATATCTGTGTGGTATAGCAAATATTTAGGCACTTGACTATTTTCCTTGGAATATAGTCTAAAACCCTTCATTTATATAGAAAAATATGTTACAGTGTTTTGAAGTCTCAGAACAGGACTATGAAGCTTTTTTGATTAACGCAGACGCTTGGTCTTTAAGTGTTGGGGAAAGAGGGACAGCTAGAAAATGAGCAGGGGAAAACAGCAAGGGAACATTTTGTGTACTTTTCCATCCAAGATATTGCAGGGTTTGGGCAGGTTTTTTTAATCCATCGTGTTAGCCTAATCCACGGGGAACTCATTTTGAAATTAAATATACCAAAGTATTTATGATTTACAAAGAGGGAAAAAATAAAAGCCTTAAAAAATATCCTGTGTTTGATCTATTTGTCTCTATGAAAATATTGACAAAAGGCAAAAGAATGGCCTTCATTTAGCTTATTATTGTTGGCTTGCTTTAATGCTTTCTTATTAAGGGTAAACTCCCATTAAGATGTGAGATATTAACTCTTTCGCAGTTGTGAAGGAATAAAAGATGGAAACTTTGAATGTAAAACTCCTGTAAACAATGATTCTAAGCTAGATAATCTGTGATTCCTACTCAGAAGCGTGTAATGTGGCAGAGGGAAGCTTTTAAAAGTAAAAAATATATATGGAATAGTCTGTGCAGAATTTATGCTTCAAAATATCTTTAAAAAGCAGCCTCCCATGTAGGGTCAGAAACATGGTGTTAATTACGCAGTTCTAGAAGTATTTTAGAAAATAAATACTTTATGGGGGGAAAAAATAAGCGTAAAAATGTTATAAACTCTTAAGTGTCCATGTGTAAAATAAGGAGATCTCTTCACTGAAGCGTTAACTACAGACCCAACTCGAGTGTTACCGGGACCTTAACTTTATTCACCCACAAAAACCTCTAGTTTTGCGGAGTGGTATTTTTCACTGGAGTCAGCTAGTCCTTCGGGAGCCTGTTTTGAAGAACAAGTGCTACCGATGTTTAAATTGGTAACGCAATAGAGAAGTGGCGAGAGACTTCAAACTTGAGTTAATACAGTGCATCAGCTGCTAATCCAGCCCTGCTGTGCCGCTAATCAGATCACCCTGCTAGTCCAAGTGCTGTTTT